GTATAGCCAACGCACGGTAGAAGGGCAAACTTTCGTTTATTTGTGTTCATTAAATCCATGTTTGCTGCAGCAAGAAGTGTCACTATTAACGATGGAAGGTTCCCTAGGATACTAGTAACTGTCACAAATAGAGTTGTTCTCTCTTGGATTTCAACGTTGGCAGCAGCCGTTGAGTTGTTCTCGTAGGTGGTGTTCTGTGAGCTACACGGACCACCTTGTCCAGATGACGTCATCTTATTATCCCCTTCCATATAACCCAACTCGATAGTAACGAGATATTCTAATGCTTGCAGCGACACGATACAGGCCGCAGCAAATGAAATCCCACTCAGAAATGAGAAGATAAACAGCAGCAACTTGAGCGGGATCACGCGGGAGAGACTGGTATCCCCTTCCGCCATTTTCTGGAGACGAAAATTTACAATGTACATATCACTTATAAATCATGCGCTTCAGAAAGGTTTGGGCTGCGAGGAGACGCATTTTACCTATGTCTGAGTACGTCAGAAAATTAGATTGAAAGATATCAAGACAGAAACAAGCAAATAAAACAGAAACGGTCGGCAGGTATATGTGATATCTAAAGAAAATGATAATGGATGGACGGAAAGACTAAAATGGTAACCGAGATCTAAGAGTCTAGGCTGTAGAAGATACGGTTGCAGTTGAACAAGACGATGAAACTAAAAATCACACGGGCCATACACTGAGATAATATGGACTAGAAATGAAAAAGAACGTAGATGCGTGATTTACTCACGAAAAACAGGACAACTTACTTCAGGACACCGGGTGAACTCACCCTGCCTTATGAGAGAGAGGACATCTGTGTTTCAAAATACATATCATTTGTACTCACCAAACGGGATTAGTCTCTGGAACACGCTGTCTGTCCCACGGAAGTCTGTACAATTCGAGCGTTGACTGCTTTAACCGGAACCTGCGCCTAGGTTCTTGTTAAAATAACCACCTCGCAATGTTATGGCATGAATACCGTGCCTTTCTGTCCCGTTTCGTACCCGCATAAAGTCTGAACCTCGGATGCTATGAATCAAAACCTTGAGCCGTGAATCAGTTTTGTTGCTGGTATGATTCCAGATTCCACTTTGTTCTCTATAGAAAATACCAGTATTGTAACACCCCCCCAAAAAAAAACACAAACGAAAACCGTGGATGAATTACCGATGGAAGCCCTCCGTGCACAATCATAAGCCATTCAAATGAAAATACCAGCCACGAGCATCGATTCATCTTCCTATAGCAAATAGTTATGGAATATCCTAACCAGAAAACCTTACTCCTCTACGCCATGGTCCGGCGAATCAGAATACCGAGTGCAGGTTGTATAAGGACACGTATAAACCAAAGATACTGCTCTAATCAGATAGTGATGAAAAAAATGGATTCCTTTTACAACAGACATGTGGAATCTCATATCGCTTTAATAGTGCTATATAATGTCCCAAATGTCTTTAAACGTTTGAAATGTCTACTTTTTACACTTAGATTGTCCAGAAACAAGTATCAGTGTGCTTTCACAGAATAGGATACTCGTTGGATTAACGGTTGAGTCCCTGGACATGTGATCGCTGTCGATAAAATCGAAATGAGGAAGTAAATTGTCTGTTGTTACCGCATCACACGCCCCACTTAGCAATGCAGCATTGTTCCGCATCACGTGACACCATGACACCATAAAACGATGCTCAGTTTAGATGCAAATGTATATTGATTCCTGTACTCTTGCTAAAAGAGAAATCATATATAAAATATTTTAAACGTCAGACAAACAAGCTCTGATAACAAGGAAAAAAGTAAGTTGATGCATTTAACAATAATTACACGTGAAATAAAACTTTTGTCCTCCATATTAGTTTTAGAATGTTTTTTTATATTTATAACAATTTTTTACATATATTCTGTGATACTATATTTTTTACAAATAGAGGAAATCATAATAGTGCAAGGATATCTTTGTACAGGGGAATGCCAGGCCAGCATATTCATACAAGGTCGTTAAACAATTTTCAATTATTCAAAGCGAAATGTTGGGAAAATAAGTCACACTTTTCGTGGTACAAGTGTATAATATAAATGGGAATATCTTTTCTCATTAATGATTAATTGTTCCCTTGTTCGAAGTTATTACTGAGCTGAGCAAAATTGAGACGATTGGCTTTTAGCTCTCTCCACTTTCTTCCGATAACAATCTAAGTGTTGGCAAGATGTTTGTACTTTTCTTAAATGATAACAAAGGACCAAAAGACTTATTCGTAATATCTTCGGAACCTTTCAAACACAGTGTGGAGCATCAGCAATTGTTCCCATATGTACAACATACAGCAGATTACCTCAAAAAACCGCGGATTTTATTAAGTACAGGTAAATTGTGTCTTTTCACCTTCACCTTACATCACAATAATACTTTTTGCAGGTGCATGTATAGGTTAGTTGGCGTCTGCATAAATGGGTTCAGTTTTACCGGAAGAATTACCCTCTCTTTCGGTCTTGTTCTGATCGGGTAGTTTTTCTCCTTTATCCGGTCGAGCATAGACTGGTGTTGGTGAGGCACCGGTACCCCTGCTCGTTTCGTTGCTCGTAGTGGTAGCTTGCTTGTCCGGTTTCGCATATAAAGCAGAGACGTCGTCTTCTTTGCCTAAGATATCAGCTGAAGAACTTCTTTGCAGTCGGCCCGTAGTTTCGTTTTTACTCCTCAAGACACGAGAACCAGCGAGTCTGGAGCTGGGAGTACGCTCCGGCTTTCTAGGTGTCAGTGTTCTGCTCTTCGAGTGAGATTGCACGCTCCGTTTACCAGTCGATATGTCAGACTTGTCACCTTCCATAACTGCATCACTTGACAAACTGCGATTAATCTCGGCTTTACCACGCGATTTATCTGGCATCGCATACACAACTTCTGGAGTTGAATTGCGAGACGTTGGGGGCAAAGACAACTTCTCGTCAGAACTGTTCAGTTCTTGATTACTGATTTTAGCAGACCGTTGGGACGTCTTGTCCGGCAGAGCATACAGCACATCTGATCTCTTACCTGCAGGTTTTACAAATTTGTGGGGCACTGAAATATTCTTGGAGTCTGTGTTATCCTGTTTAGGGTTTTGTTTGTTTGTCTTATCTGGCATAGCGTACAGCACCTGGGAACCTTCACGTTCGACGTGAATCGTCGGAGAAACCACGCACACATTCTTAGCAGGTTTTTGTCCTGCATCTGAGGTTTTTCCCATTTCCTTAGAAGCTGCGACCGAAGATGTGGTCAGATCGATTGATTCATAAGCACAGGGTCTAGACTTTGGTTCGACCGACTCATAACCGGACAATTTGTCTTGAGGGTTGTCAAGATACTTGATTTGTGGCTTGCTGTTTTCACTCGCCTTTTCCTCGCCGACGGAAGCATACACATCGCCATCATGGCGACTAACATCAAAT